ACAACTTTAAGGAGAACTCCAAACTCTTCTGGAAAGAGGTTGGAAGGACCCGAAGTGGTGCGACGGCCTTAAGAATGAACAAAGTGCTTTCGAGAACTAATGACGTCCTCTCAGAAAAATCGGACGTCATGCAGCGATGGAGCGAATTTTATAGAGAAATGTATGCGTGTGATGATCTTAGTGAGGGATCCGGGGATGACGCCGTGACTGGCACGCCAGACCCGGACCTCGATGACACTGAGGTCATCAGTATGAAAGAGATTGAACGTGCGATTCGAAGTTTGAAATGTGGTAAAGCTGCGGGACTAGACAGAGTTACTGCTGAAATGGTCAAGTATGGTGGGCCTCTCGTCTGGGACAGCTTTCATCTGCTGTGCAATTTGTGCTGGCGGACGGGGGATGTCCCGGATGATTGGCGATCCGCAGTCATTGTGCCTTTATATAAAGGTAAAGGTTCACATTTTGACTGCGGGTGCTATCGGGCAATCAGCTTGACCAGTTTAGCAAGTAAAGTTTACTCGAAGGTTTTGACACGTAGGATGCAAGAGAAATCGGAAAGATTTCTATGGGAGGCACAATGCGGATTTAGACCTGGAAGAGGATGCACGGATCAAATGTTTTCTCTCCGTATGATCACGGAAAAGCTTCTGGCTGTTAACCAGAAGATTTTCTGTGCTTTTGTGGATCTTGAGAAAGCATTTGATAAGGTTGTAAGGAAGAAAATGTGGGAACTGTTACCGGGGTATGGTGTGGATGGCCGATTGCTAAGGGCTGTGCAGTCTCTTTACTGTGACTGTAAAGCCTGTGTGCGGGTAGGGCATGACCTGTCACCCATGTTTAACGTCCAAACGGGCGTAAAGCAGGGTTGTGTCATATCTTCCTGGCTGTTCATACTGTATCTCGACAGCTGTTTACAGAAGCTGAAAGATAGTTGTTTGGGTGTGAAATTGGGTGACATTAAAGTAAATTGTCTGCTGTATGCTGATGATGCAGTGCTTATTGCACCATCAGAGGCAGAACTGCAGGCATTAGTCACGTGTATGAAAGAGGAATGTGAAATTAAAGGTCTCCGTTTGAATGCTAATAAAACTAAGGTTCTGGTATTTGAAAGGGACGAAGAGAGAACGAAGTGTGAAATATGGGTAAATCAGGAATGTCTAGAACAGGTAAATGAAATTGTATACTTGGGGAGTGCTTTTAGCCGGGATGGAAGATGTGATTTAGATGTGGACAGGCGTGTCGCTGCCGGGAACAAAGTCAATGGTGCCCTGACTGCGTTAGTCAAAAGGCAAGGCGTAGCGAAGAGTGCACGCCTTGCAATACATAACGCAGTGTTGGTACCGACTTTGTTATATGGCAGCGAAACCTGGGTATGCCAGAAGAAGCATAAAAGTAAGTTGAATGCAGTGGAGATGCGATCTCTTCGTAAAATGTGCGGCGTTACTATGGCCGACCGAAAGCGAAACGAAGAGATTCGCAATATGGCAGGTTTGAAAGATGACATTATCACAAAAATTGATAAGGGCGTGCTTCGGTGGTTTGGGCACGTTGAGCGAATGAGTGAAGACCGAATGGTGAAGAAAATATATAGCGCGAAAGTTAATATTAAAAGGTGTCGAGGTAGACCGAGACTAACTTTCGAAGACCATGTGAGCAAATTGCTCGAAGAGGGTAGGGTCAAGAGTACTCGGATACCTAGACGTGCATGTATGAAGAAGATAATGAATCTGAAAGAAGCGAAAGAGATATGTAAGGATCGTGACACTTGGCGATCTGTTCTCTCTGGCTACCCCGTCAGGGATTGTGCGTGAAGATAAGTTAAGAATATTATAATATTATAAACGCATGAAATGTCTCTAAAAATCTCTAAATTTATTAAAAACCTGCTTAAAATGTTCAAAATGTATCAAATCATATAAATACAAGGCGATTATATTGCAATAACAAAGATAAATAACATTTGTAATATAATAGAAAAAATGGATTAAAATTTTCTAAGTTGATGAAGGTGTTCGTGTAATAATTGGAAAATTTCTAAGTTAATGAACGTGTTCTTGTAATATTCCCTTATATTGGGGCGTTGTCGGAGACACATACCCAAGGTTGTACATATATATGGGGTGGTCGGCTGACCGACTGCTAGTACTAAGGTTGCACAATGACTAGTCCTATATTAGGGACTTAACATAGTAAGGTCTGACGAACCAAAGCATTAATATAGAAGGTCTCTATGATGCATAAGCATTATGATAGCAGAGTTATGACTTGAAGTCCCATATGAATAAGACATAGAGTAGTATGGTCTATGAAATAAAGCAAATATGTGGAAGGTCCCAAATATGTAAAAGCATTATATTGAAAGAAATGGGACTTGAAAAGGATTATTATAGTGGCGTGTAGGTTGCTTCGCAGCCTCTGAGACCGAGGTAAACTTGGACTCACTAAACGATGTGTCCTAGACATATCATCTTAGTGCCGGTGGTAAGCGGGTTTGTTGTAGCAATACGACTTGCTCGTGGACATCGCACACCCCTACCGTTTGTGGGCGGCGTCTTAGCGCATAGCGTTATGATACGTCGGCTATCTTTCGGATTAGGGTGAGTGTGTTTGGTAGTACTTTTAAGTGCAGCAAGCATACTCATACGTGGAGTTTTGGCTACTGACGTCTTAGTACCGTACTACTATGATACGTTGGTGGTATTTTTAGTTAACAACATTATCAAATTTTGTTACCAAAGTCGATAGGGATCATGTGGGTGTGTTGTGAGGGGACGCCATCCGTATGATAGTTGCATTGATGCTTACTGCTACTTGCAGTATTGTGTCTTGTGATGGATCTGCGGGTGTGCTGCAACTGATTCGATGCATCCTTGTGGTTCTGGTCGAAGGAGGTATGCGGGTGGTGATGTCTGCTGGGACTGTATGGGGGACCTTGGGATGGTGTAAGCCCGACGATAGTCGTATTGATGCTTGTTGCATTCTGTAGCATTGCGTCTCTACGATGGTTGTTTGGCGGGTCGCTATTCTCAATGGCGCTCTCTGCGTCTTGGTTTGACTCACAACCTAAGTAGCTTTGCCCAAGTCGGGTCTCTTCATTGCGGGACTGCAGACTGTCTGCCCTCCATGATGTTTTATATAACAACTTAATAATATATCTCTATAAAGTTCCCACCTTTGAGAGATTGAAGGCAACTTGTTGGTGGGTGAGACAAACATGATCGAAAAATGCATATACTCAACGTATCCGACATTATTCCGATATCATCGGAATAATGTCGGATAAGACTCGCTCTTAGATCGTTACTCACACTTGCGTGCGGCTCCAACGATGACGTGTACAGCTGCCCATAGAACCTCTCAATCTCACTCAAAATCTCAGGTGTCCCGGAAACGATGCTGCCACATTCTCTCTTCAGCTTTGACAGTTGGCTCTTTCTGGCAGACAGATCTCTGGCAAAGACTTTGGAGCCTTGGTTCCGCTCGATCGCTTCTTCAATACGAGCTGTATTGAAGTTGCGTAAGTCCCGCCGCATGCATTTGGAGATCTGTCTGTTCAGATGCCTGTATGCTGTCAAGTCTGTTGAAGAATGTAGCTTCATCTCCCGTCTAGCAGCCATGAGATTAAGAGTGTGATCGGAGAGTTTTTGTGTTCTTCTGCGGCGGGTCTTGCAGAACTTAGCTCCGACCGCATGGACAGTTTCCACGAGCTTGTCATTCAAATCGTCCACTTCATTGCAGTCTTCTAGGCACTGAAAACGGTTTTGTAACTCGAGCTGAAAGGTTTCGGGACTTTGGATTAGAGCACGAGGGGGACGGAGCGTTGACTTCATTAGACGAGACCTCTCCAACTTAACGTTTAGGTTCAGTGTGCCTCTAACCATTCGGTGATCGCTGCCGGTTTTCACCCTCGCGATCACTGAGACATCACTGAACAGTTGTCGTCTGGTCGTCATAATGAAGTCAATCTCATTTTTTGTCGAACCGTCGGGGCTCGACCAGGTCCACTTCCTGTGGGGCCGCTTCTGGAAGAAAGAGTTCATCATAAAGAGTCCCTCTTTCTCCATGAAGTCAGCCAACTGCTGGCCCCTTGGGTTCCATTGCCCTATTCCAAATTTCCCTACTTTCAGCTCACCGTTCTCTCTTGTGCCTAGTTTTGCATTGAAGTCTCCCATTAACACCGTATATTGGGTTTTGGAGGAATGCATGGCTCTAGATATATCCTCATACATTTCCTCCACCTCCTGATCGGGGTGTGCCGAGGTTGGTGCGTAAACCTGTATGACCTTCAGCGAATACCGTTTGGTGATTCTGAGTATAAGGTAGGCAACCCTCGTCGACACACTCTCAATCTTTACAACGTTGTTAACGAGAGACTTGTGGATGATAAATCCGACACCTCCTTGGGACAGATGGTCGCCCTCCCGGTAATAGAGCAAGTTGCCGGATTCGAGGATTACCGTGTCCTCCCCCTCTCTTCGGACTTCGGATAATCCTATAATATGCCAGCGTAACTTGTCTATCTCTTCTTCCAGCTCCACAATCTTCTCGTCAGTCCTCAGGGTGCGTGCGTTGTATGTTGCCAGGTCGAGTCGTCGTAGGTGGCAACCGAACCTCCACCGGAGATTCTTAGCACCCCCTGCCCCGCCGTTACCATGGTCGCCACCGTAGCCAGGAATAGCGGGGCCGCCGGGGACTAGGGGCCGTTTATTATTGTCATTGCTCATGGGGGGTATATTGCCATTTAATTAATGTAGCTTGTAAAATATAATAAAAGTTATACATTGAATTTTATTGTTTGTTTATTATGTATCATTATTATTCAATTGTGTATAGGAAAAAAAAGACATTTATTGTTACAACGAACGTATTTATTAAACTAAATATTTATTTATTTTAAATTAATATAAAGTTATAAACACGTAACTTAAGCTATACATTGATCTCTTACTTACTTATACAGTACATAGTAGTAGCATTACATAGTTTTACATTCAAATTTATTAAAATATAGTTTTATAATGTCCCCACGGCAACGTATTGTAGCCATCTGCTATAATTTGTCTTTTATCATCGTCTCTATTAAGTACAAGTTTATCAACTTTTTGAGTAAATATTTGATGATTCGTTGATCTAATTATACACATACTCTTTCTAAAGTTTTCATTAGACCATAACGCTCGTTTATATTTTTCAATACTAAGATTTTTAGTAACAGATTTTTTAATACCCTTAGCTTTTCTTATTGAGGTTGTTTTATAATCAATACAATATAATCTCGCTCTTAATCCAACAAATTCAGTTATTATATCACCATCCATTTCGTCTTTGAAAAACCCTGGAATTTTTCAATTTACTTTGGGCATATCATACTGATTGTTTTTAAAATTACTTGTATCAAAATATTTTATATTTTTTTTCATGTCTTCATAAAAATCATTTGTATTTATTAAATACAGCAGACTATCAGTATCAGTATAACAGAGTTGCAGTGAATTTTTATACATGCGTTTCATTATAGAGTAATAAAAATGATATAAATAACTCTTAGCTAAATCCAGAATTGAAAACCCAATGTAAATTGGCCGATCAAGGATAACTTTTGTTTGTTTTAACTGGATTGCTACTAATGAATCCGAAATTATTGACAAATTTTTAAAATTAGGAGCACTTACATATTTTTCAGTCCCACATAGTTTATTAGTCTTATTAGATGTATCTTTCCATATATTAACCAATTTTACATCGACTTGTTTTCGTTTATTCTCTATTGTCTTTCCAAAAATAGAATTGTTTTGTTTTTTAAAAAAATCTCTTTCAAAGTATGAAGCAGCCTTTTGTCTAAGTGTTGCATTTAATAAAATATATGGTGCTAACATGCATTTTGACTAAATAATAATATCCTATAAACTTTGAGCAAAATGAGTCCATGACATAAACATTCTTTTAAATGCTCATAATGAATAACATATTAACATTTATCGTACAAACTAGCTATTAATTTTTTTATGTTTGCTTCCTCGTGGAGCAAACTTTTCTACTGCAAATGGTAAATCTGAATGATCATCATGTATTTAAATTGGATAGTGCAAGTCTACTTCAAGAATATACCCAATATCACAATCATCAGGAACATTCATAACATCAAATTGATTAATTTCTTTTTCACTTAGGAATTTAAAGTTCCCCGTTGGTAACTTTTGCATCATAGCAAAACCATATAAATTTACACAATCAAGATAACTTAAAAAATTGTTTTTATTATTGCTGTCATAATAGGACATGTATTTATTGTTTGCTTTTGCATATCTTAGAGAACATTGAGCAAGACCACCGCGAATTCCTTTCTCTAAAACTTGGTACATTTCAATATCTGAAAGTAAATCTAATTGTATGTTCGTATGAAACAACATAGCATCCCAACTTAATGATGGGGATGAGACATAGTAACATGGGTCAAGACTATAATGTTTTAAACTCATAGCTCGGAATTTTTCAAAAACATCACACAGCAGTAATACATCACATTTTAAATATAAATCGGTGTATTCACCTAAGTTACGGATTTTAAAATCATTCCATACCTTCAATGCATGACTGTAATCTTCATCTGAAATAGATTGAGATGTAAGGTGATTGAAGAATTTCGATTGCTCTGGTAATTGATTTTCTTCATACCAATCCCATGAATCTATATAGTCATAACAGTAGATACCTTTCTTTCGAACTAAATTAAATAAATGTTTATCTTCAAAAAACATGCGTAAATTTTTAAAATCTTTCGCTTCCATCGTTTTCACTAAATTATCTGAGCTCGAGCTTAAAAAGTTGAAAGAGTCAATAAATTTCAACTGAGCTGAGTTCTTATTATTATTATTATTTTCTATTGGAATAAACTTAGTAAATGAAATAAAGTTTTCTTTATTTCGGGGTATTAGATTTATACGATCGCAAATGGCTGAAAGTTCCTTTATAAATAAATGGCAATCATAACCAGAAAGGTTGTGAAAGATTATAGGTATGAAAGAGCATGTCTTAGCTTTTAAATTACATTCTTTATGAGCAGGTCCTCTGTATTTTCCAGTAAAGTGATCATGATCTGCAACTATGATATCTGTATTACTAAATATTTTTTTACACAAATGACATTCCTTTACTTTATTCAAATAGTCTCGCCCCGTTTCACCGATTACCAGAGGTGTATTATTTGAAAGTAATTTATGTAACCGTTTAACATCTTTACAAATTGATTCAATAAATTTTTTAACACACTCTGACCCTCGATAGGAAACTAATTTTTTGAGGTCGGGCTTAGAATCACAAAATATATAATGTGCAAAACAACTGGCCTCATGGATTTCAATATTTTCCACATACGTAGTTTTATTTTTGTCTAAATACTCATGTAATAAACTCTCAAAGTCGCCGTATATTACAATAGGAATTCTTTGAGTCTTTTCATAGTTTGAGAAATAAAGTTTAGTATTTTCTTCCGGTAAAATGGTTTGGACCATCGCACAATCATGATTTAAAAGTTTCCTGCAGTGTTTAAATATAAAAAATATTCTTCATATAAATGTATTTTAGATTTATGCTTAGTTAATTGCTTGTGTACGAGTTTATCAAACCTTTTTATCAAGAAAAAATTATGTTTATTATTTTTATTTAAGTAAAGTAAGTTAACATGCATTATCTTTCTTTTTAAAGTTTTATACAGCGGCCCGGTCATATTATTTTTAATATTAACGCTCACATTAGTATTCATTTTCTCGAATAATTTAATATCATTAAAACTTGGAGGAAATAACAAATTATCTGTTTTTAAAACTTCAGAGTAATGAGGGTATGAATTCACTCTATTTGGATTACTTGTAGTTGGATACAAATGAGCTAAAATACTCCAAAGAAAGCAGTGTTTATCATTGTTTTTTTTTTTAAATTTAAGCATAATTTTGTATTACGTATTTTTTCAGGTAATAGTATATACGAACCAAATCTTAACTGATTATATTTTACAATATTTAATTCTAAGTGTCTTATGGCCTCAATAGTCCAACCTGATTTGCAAAGCTCGAATTTTGAACACTTGTTTGTTATTTTTTCTGCAAAACTATTGTAAACAGACGATCACTGTTTTAATATATAATTTCATATTTAGTATTAAAAGATTTAATAGATGATTCATTATTCTTGGGTAAAGTATATGTAACAAACAGTTCAAAATTAATTTTTAATGCTGTATGTTTCTTTAACATTTGTTTATTTTGTTGACGAGATGTGTGTGAATATAAGACAAGAAAGTTTCAGGTGAAATAGTTAATTTTTCAGGACTAATTCTGTAAGTGACAATTCTGTTCTTGAAAGCACATGCTATTATATTTACATTATCAAACTCGGTTTGCAGTAAGCAGTTGGACTTGTGAATATAAGACAGAATAGAAGAGAGGGGGCAAACGAGCATGCGGCTCACCTGATGGTAAGTGACTACCGCCGCCCATGAACAACTGCAACACCAGGGAGGGAATTGCAGATGCGTTGCCGGCCTTTTAAAAAGGAATACGCTCTTTTCTTGAAGGTCCCTAAGTCGTATCGGTCCGGAAAAATCGCTGATGGTAATCGATTCCACAAGGAAGTCGTGCGAGGAAGAAAACATCTTCTAAATCGCACAGTGGTGGACCGCCAATCATCCAGATGGTGCGGATGGTATCGGGAGTTTTGCTGCGATGTGCGTTCGTGAAATTTGGCGGCTGGGATTAATCCGAACAATTCCTCAGAGCACTCCCCATGGTAGATGCGAAAGAAAATGCAAAAGGATGCAACATCTCTTCGCAGTGCCAATGAATCGAGCCGATCGGAAAGCGCTCGGTCGTCGACGATTCGAGCCGCTCTGCGTTGGATGTGGTCAAGTGGAAGGAGCTGGCACTGGGGAGCCCCTGCCCAGAGATGGGAACAGTATTCCATGTGAGGCCGAACCTGCGCCTTGTAAAGTTGCAGGCGGTTTGCCGGCATGAAATACTGTCTCGCTCTGCTGAGCACGCCAAGCTTTTTAGAGGCCAATTTGGCCTTCTCTTCCAAGTGACCACGAAACTGCACGTCACTCGATATGTCGACTCCTAGGATACCGATACTGGCTGAGGCAAGAAGGGGAGTACCTTGAAACTGAGGAGATACGACAAAGGGGTTCTTTTTAGCGGTAAACGCGCAAACTCGTGTCTTCTGAGGATTAAACTGGACACAAGTTTGCTCCGGTACTCGGCTACGTTTTCCCGAGAAATATTGGCACGGCCGGTGTATAAAGCATCACCAGTGCTGTCATCCGCATAGCAATGAATGTTACCAGTTAGCAACATATCATTGATATGCAGAAGAAACAGCGTTGGTGATAGCACACAGCCTTGTGGAAAACCAGCGTTAATAGGCTTATAGTCAGAACATGCACCGTCTACAACGACCTTGATGCTCCGATCTGCAAGGAAGCTGGTGATCCAATTGCACAATTTCTCGGGAAGCCCATAGGAAGGGAGCTTCGAAAGAAACGCTTTGTGCCAAACCCTATCGAAGGCCTTCGCAATGTCCAGACTAACGGCAAACGCCTCCTCCTTGGACTCTACTGCCTCCGCCCATCTATGGGTCAGGTAGACCAGAAGATCACCAGCTAATCGACCCCGACGAAAACCGTATTAGCGGTCACTAATTAGCTGGTGATCCTCAAGGTACCGAATGAGCTTGCAGTTAATAATGGATCCCATTATTTTGGAGAACAAGGAGGTGATCGCGATAGGCCTATAGTTGGACGGGTCTGAGCGATCGCCTTTTTTAGGGATCGGGTGGACAAAAGCTGTCTTCCATGAATTCGGGACTACGCCTTGGGAGTAGGAGTACCGGAAAATACGCATTATTAAACGACTTTTCAATTTTGTGTGATATTAAACGACTGTATATTCGAATACAAACCACTGACTAATATCGTTAAGAGAATCTCATGAATAGCAATACAATAATCGTCGATCTTCAAGGCTTCAAAAATAGCAAAAATAAATTTATAGTAAAGGAGTTTGCTATAGCCACTCTAGAGTACACTAATATATTCCTAATTAAACCTCCTTACCCATTCACTTCACTATCTCCTGAAGAGAAAAAACAAATTGGCTGGATTGAAAAGCATCGAGGATATCGATGGAGTGAGGGCTCTATTGATTATAAAGAGTATCACAGAATTTTAAAGATATAGTGGAAAGATAAAAAGATTTTATTAAAAGGATGTGAAAAAATTAAATGGGTGCAAGATATTTGTGATGAAAATAATTCTATCATAGATATAAGTTGCTTAGGAGCTCCCAATTTAAATACTCTTTGTGAACTTTATTGTAAAGATACTTTACTGTATAACTGTTTTACTCATAAGAAAATTTGTGCGTTAAAAATGTTTTATGTATTAAGAAATGGTGTTTGACAAATGATTAGATATTATGAGATATTAACAAAATGATTGTTTGATTTCCAATAAAATATATGTAAATAAACACTTCATCTTTTAATTTAAACTACCTTTGTGTTCGAGAAGAAGAAAAAAAATAGTTTCAGACCGTTAACGATTATTACTTATTATTAAAGTAACTGTTTTTTTTTTGTACCACCTTGCATTTTTAACGATGAAATAGATTAGCCTTCATATTTTGTTGTTATATTATTGAACCATTTGTTTTTGAGATTCCGAATGAAACGGTATTACAAATGGAGCAAAAATAAAAAAAGCGAATCGAGAATTAGACTAAAAATTTTGACATGTACTGGAGAGAATCGGGGTCTTTAGCGGCATGTAGCTCGAGCGAAGCGAGAGCAAGTGACAAGTGATGTATACTTTATATTGTTTATTTACTTAAAAGCTAAATTACTTTCTTAGAAGCCAAACTAATGTTATGTCATAGGATACTATTCACTTAATGTTATAAGACCTGTATACTTTATATTGTTTATTTACTTAAAAGCTAAATTACTTTCTTTGAAGCCAAACTAATGTTATGTCATAGGATACTATTTACTTTATGTTATAAGACCTGTATACTTTATAAATAATATTGTTTACTTTCTTAGAAACCACACTACTGCGATTGTAATATTATATGCTAATGTTTATAGTTTACCATAAGTCTGTATGTGATTTGCAAATTGTGAAATAACACCAAGAACAATGTTGTTCCCTTATGATAACCCCCACCTCCTAGCTTCCTATACTATTATATAATATATATAAACCAAATCTTTCGATCCCTCAATACAATTACATTACCAAGTTTTCTAAGTCACCTACTATATTTTAAGTTAGTTTGCCACACAACATCTATCTATCTCGATTTAGATCCTATGAATTTAGGTCAGTTGAAATATTCGGTTCAGTGAAACATTTTGTAATAATATTGAGATCAACGGTTATACATATACATGTTTTATAAACATTCACCTTTCAAACAATCTGTTTTACTTGTCTTTCGTCATACGCTTTTACATGTTATTTCGCCCTTGAAAATGTTCATGGATCTACTCAGTCGGCAATGACAGCCGTTGTATCTTGTCAGAATGTACAGTACTGTTCAATTTTATTGAGCACTTATGATATAAGTAATACATATTCTTTGTAAATTTTGATATTATTACTTTGTTGATTCTTAATTCTTTTTTTGTATTTTATTTTTTACTTTTATTTATTTATTTATTTTCATTCTTAATTCTTTCTTTTTCTAATCATTTTGCACCTCAAAAGCAGTTTTCTCTCCTTACTTACGAGTAAAGATTGACTGGTAGAAAACGCCTTTTTTTTTTTTTTTTGGCGGATGGAAAATCATCAAATGACGCCTTTCGCTCTGGGTGGAGCGGAAGGGAGTGTCAGACTTTTACTGACTAAAAACCATCCGTGTTCCTTCAGTGCCCTTACGTTCCGGAGCCGCGGTATCTCTTTCGAACAGCCCGCAGCCCCGGCAGGCGTCGGCCCTTGCGGGCCCCTTCACGCTGCTGACAGCTCTTTGAGGCGCGCGTGGAACAAAACGCGCCGTCGACACGGCCTGTCGTCGTTAGACGGACGGACGGCGAGCTACCCATTGCTCGCCGTCCACAGGCCCGCGCCTACGGTGGCCGGGGGCCACGACGTAGCCCCCGACGCCCGGGGCGTCTCCCGCGGCGGCCGGGAAGGAAAGCTGCTGCTCTCTCCTTCTCCCGCTCCGCCACCTCCTTCGCTAGCATCACTGCTTCGCAGAAGGTGGTGACGGCATCCCATTCCGTCTCGCTCCGGACCATGGCTTCGACCAGGGCCGGACGCGAGAGGTCGCCGCCGCCTATCGCCGCTACGAGGACACGGCGGTGCTCCGCCCAGGCAGGGCACACCTCCACGGTGTGCTCCACCGTGTCCTCCGGTCGATCCTCGCAGTGGGAGCACCCGGGCGTTTCCTCCCGCCCGATTCGGTGCAGGAACCTCCCGAACACACCGTGTCCGGTGAGGACCTGCGTCAGGCGGAAGGTGAGGACGCCGTGGCGTCTCTCAAGCCACTCCTCAAAGAGGGGTCTTATCGCCGCTATAGTGGCGTGCCCAGCACGGGGTTGCGACAGTCGCTCTCTCCATGTCGCCATGAGATCATGCCGGAAGTCTGTCCGCTGCACGACAACTTGCCATGGCAGCGGGGTTTCCCCCCGGCATAGTGCCTCCGCGCGCCATTCGTGTAGGCGCGCGAGGACTATCGCCTCCAGATCCCATGGTGGCAATCCGGCAAGGAGGCACGCTGCCTCGCGGGAGATCGTGCGGTAGCCGCGAACCATTCTTACGGCGACCACCTTTTGGGGCGCGTTCAGGTGGTGGACGGCAAGCCGCGCCAAACCACGCGCCCACACCGGGGCCCCGTAAAGGGCCATGGACCGCACAATCCCCGCGTAGAGCCTCCGGCAGGAGGCGTTTGGCCCCCCCAGGTTCGGCAGGAGCCGCCTGAAGGCAGCCCCGGTCCGTTCCAGTTTGGGAGCCAAACGTCGGAAGTGCTCAACGAAGTTCCATCGGCCGTCGAGGACGAGTCCTAGGTACTTCAACGTCGACTCGACGCCGATGGATACCCCTCCTACCATCGCTGAGGATCCCGGTGGTGGCCTGTTCTGAGGACCATGGAAGTGCATGGCCTCGGACTTGTGCAGAGCCACCTCAAGACCCAGCTGCCGGATCCTCTCAACGACTATCGCAACCCCGCGTGTCATATTTTCCGCCGCCGCCTCGTACGACCCCCCCTGTGCCAGTACCAGCGTGTCGTCAGCGTAGCAAACTACGCTGACGCCGGTAGGGAGGTCGGCGCGCAGCACCCAGTCGTAACCGATGTTCCACAGGGGCGGCCCCAGAACCGAACCCTGTGGGACACCGCACGACATCTCTCGCCGGTTCCACTCACCGTTGCGACCGGGGTAGATGACGGCCCTATCCGTCAGATAGTCCCCGACTATACGACGGAGATAGGTCGGCACCCGGTGATACCGGAGTGCCTCCCTAATGCAGCTCCAGGGCATGGAGTTGAAGGCGTTGGCGATGTCGAGAGACACCGCCAAAACAACCCCCCCCCTGGCCACTGCATCCCCCGTCGTGAGGGCTCTTACGCGCATGATGGCGTCCACCGTAGAGCGCCTCTTGCGGAAACCAAACTGGTGTTCCGCAAGATCCGGCCCCGTCCCCGCAAGGTGCTCGGCGAGGCGGTTTGCAATGACTCTTTCAAAGAGCTTGCCCACCTCGTCGAGCAGCACCACGGGCCGGTATGCGGACGGAGAGTCCGCAGGGCGCCCCGGCTTCCGAATGAGGACCAGCTTCCCCGTCTTCCAACGAAGCGGGAATTGGCCTCTCTCCAAGCATGCGCTTAGGAGCCCCTCCAGTCGGGGCCCGAGAGCCTCCGAGGCCAGGACCCAGGCTTTGCCAGGCAAGCCATCGGGTCCTGGGGCGGTATTCCTGGCCTTGAGCCTACGTACCGCCACTCTCAGGTCTACCCCGGTCCCTTCCGGGATGTCGTCGTCGTCGTCCTGGTGGTCCGCTTCCGGCACCGCAGGTGGCGGAGCCATAGGCGGGGGTGGATGTTCCCCTCGCGCAGGAAACAGAGCGCTCACCACGTCCTCTACGAGCTGAGGCCGGAGACTCTGCGTCAGCGGGGGGGCCCAGGTGCGGAGTTTATCCCGCACCATCTTGTAAGGGCGCCCCCACGGATCTCTGTCGAGAGTCTCCAGCATCTCCTCACGGGCCCGATCCCGGGCCCGCATGACAGCCTCCCGGAGGGCGGTTTTTGCCGCTCTGTATCCCTTAAGGTGTTCAGTCCGCCTTTGTACATTTTTGTGCAATGAAGTTGAAATAAATAAATTAATAATATCTGTTTTAGCAATTGAGATTCAGTTTGATAAGATATATCTTTGCGTAATTACAGCTAGTGTAAAAGTTATATATTTATTTAAATTCTTTAGCGTTAAAATACAATAAAGAATAACTATTATGTTGTTACATCATACCCATTGCAACTAATAGGTAGTGCTCCTTATCTGCATAAGTTCCAAGTACCAAGGTACCAACCCTTCTACTTATTACTATAGCTAAATAACAGTGCATTTATTACTTTGTTCAAGCGGGTATGGAGAGCTAGAACAATAAAAAACAAGCTGTGAGACATTCCATCTTAGTTCTTTCCTGTGTAAAACCTATCAGTAACCTTTTTTCATAAGTTGGGCGCAGTTATTCCTGTAGTACAGAAGCCACTTATCTTCAAGTGGACTGTTAGCTTGTTTGTTACTTTAATTATATAATATTAAATTTAAGAGGCATGTTTGTTACGATATTCTTCTAGCAAATCTCGTCCACGGTAACAACTATCTTCTTCCGTTTTGAAATCAAAACAACACGAGAAAGCGAATATAAAATATTATTATATAATATTTTTACAAAGGTTCCTAACCAATAACTTATTATAAACCTTTGTATAGGAAAAAGTTAGAGCTTCAGCAGCTTTTTTGAATAGGTATACATAAGATTCGTATATACTCCTTTAGCTATATCTTAATTAAATTTCTTTCAATTTTATAAATGTAAATTTCCTAAGTGCTAATAGCGAAGTGCGACATAGACTTAATTATGCACACACGACATTTAGAGTTGTGGAAGTTCGGGTTTAAGAGCTAAGCCAAAGTTTTAGTCCTAGCCACTTGTTGCAACTTTCAAAGCTTATGTGCTTCGAACACATACTAGTACTTATCATATATTAACAACTAGCTGTGCACCGCGACTTCGCCCGCGTGGAATTTATTACGATTAGATTTTATGGATTTTAATAAAATTTTTTGCGCCTTTATTAAAAAAAATTAGTAGGGTTCCCTACTAATTTTTTTTAAATAAAAGTAGCCTTAGTTACTCCTTATAACATTAGCTATTTGCTAGTGAAAGTTTCGTCAAAATCGGTCCAGCCGATTTGGAGATTAGCCGGTACAAACAGACAGACAGACAGAAAAAAAAATAAAAAAATAGTGTTCTTGTTATATGTACCGTATAAACTTTCATATGCATTTAGTAAAGAGTTGTTATTTTGACATTACAAAAAGACACTTCAATTTTATTTATTTAGAACAGAAGACTTAGATGACTAAATTTTTTTATCGTATTATATATAGCCTTTAATTTAATCACACAACAAAAAATTATATCGCTTTTCATCGAATGAGGGTGACAAACTAGCACGCAGTCCACCTGACGGTTAGTGGATGCTGTAGCCAGTAGACATGTACACCTATCCTCGATTAAGATTCAAAATGCAGATGCGTTCTCACCCCTGAGGACTAAAATAGAATGGTTCGTTACCAATAAAAGGTTCTCCGGTTCTCGAGTCTCACCATACGAAACAGCAGCCTTAAGCTACTATTTAACGCTGATATTCTGTGATAGGGTGATCCTTAGGCAGTCGAGCCGACTCATTAGTTCTGCAAACATAATATGACAGCGTGACTCTACCATGTTAAATAATGATTTTCTACTTTATACTTCTTACTTTATGTTACTTTCTGTTTCTTATTAGCAGCGCATTAGCTGATCACAGCAAAACAAAGGCCCCTCTTAAGCAGGAAGCAACGCAACGGTAACGTAAGTAGGTTTACGATTGTAATGCTTAAGTCTTTTAGATATTTAACATGCTTACCCTCGCATTATATATTTTAGTTTTAACGTAGATTGCCAGTGAACAGAAATAAAATATGGAAGCATTTTGAATAAAGCTACATTTACGGATTTTATCGCATTTTAATTAACATATTTTTCTTATTTTTATTAAATCCCGACGTTTCGGGTGCTTTACAGCACCCATGGTCACGGGGACTGAGGTGATTGACGTCCCGATGTCAGAGTTAACCTGGAGTACCTTCAACATTTTTAATTATTAATTTTGGTCCGATCTACGCAGAATGAACTTACTGTGTCTTGAATTCTTGCAGTGTTATGCTTGGGCTTAGTTTTAATTTTATTAATTACGTCCGTCTTCAGTCTGGTTCATAGTAAAGAGCTGTGCGCAAGTGCTCACTTTGTTTTGCTGTGTGTGATAATAAGAAATAGAAAGTAACATAAAATAAGAAGTACTTACTTACTTATCTTCACGCACAATCCCTGACGGGGTAGCCAGAGAGAACAGATCGCCAAGTGTCACGATTCTTACATACCTCTTTCGCTTCTTTCAGATTCATTATCTTCTTCATGCATGCACGTCTAAGTATCCGAGTACTTTTGACCCTACCCTCTTCGAGCAATTTGTTCACATGGTCTTCGAAAGTTAGTCTCGGTCTACCTCGACACCTTTTAATATTAACTTTCGCGCTATATATTTTCTTCACCATTCGGTCTTCACTCATTCGCTCAACGTGCCTAAACTACCGAAGCACGCCCTTATCAATTTTTGTGATAAGGTCATCTTTCAAACCTGCCATATTGCGAATCTCTTCGTTTCGCTTTCGGTCGGCCATGGTAACGCCGCACATTTTACGAAGAGATCGCATCTCCACTGCATTCAACTTACTTTTATGCTTCTTCTGGCATACCCAGGTTTCGCTGCCATATAACAAAGTCGGTACCAACACTGCGTTATGTATTGCAAGACGTGCACTCTTCGCTACGCCTTGCCTTTTGACTAACGCAGCCAGAGCACCATTGACTTTGTTCCCGGCAGCGACACGCCTGTCCACATCTAAATCACATCTTCCATCCCGGCTAAAAGCACTCCCCAAATATACAATTTCATTTACCTGTTCTAGACATTCCTGATTTACCCATATTTCACACTTCGTTCTCTCTTAGTCCCTTTCAAATACCAGAACCTTAGTTTTATAAGCATTCAAACGGAGACCTTTAATTTCACATTCCTCTTTCATACACGTGACTAATGCCTGCAGTTCTGCCTCTGATGGTGCAATAAGCACTGCATCATCAGCATACAGCAGACAATTTACTTTAATGTCACCCAATTTCACACCCAAACCTTTCAGCTTCTGTAAACAGCTGTCGAGATACAGTATGAACAGCCAGGAAGATATGACACAACCCTGCTTTACGCCCGTTTGGACGTTAAACATGGGTGACAGGTCATGCCCTACCCGCACACAGGCTTTACAGTCACAGTAAAGAGACTGCACAGCCCTTAGCAATTGACCATCCACACCATACCCCGGCAACAGTTCCCACATTTTCTTCCTTACAACCTTATCAAATGCTTTCTCAAGATCCACAAAAGCACAGAAAATCTTCTGGTTAGCAGCCAGAAGCTTTTCCGTGATCATGCGGAGAGAAAACATTTGATCCGTGCATCCTCTTCCAGGTCTTAATCCGCATTGTGCCTCCCATAGAAATCTTTCCGATTTCTCTATAAATAAATAAGAAGTATAAAGTAGAAAATCATTATTTAACATGGTAGAGTCACGCTGTCATATTATGTTTGCAGAAGTAATGAGTAGGCACGACAGCGGAAGAATCACCCTCACACAGAATACCAGCGTTAAATAGTAGCTTAAGGCTGCCGTTTCGTATGGTAAGACTCGAGAACCGGAGAACCTTTTATTGGTAACGAACCATTCTATTTTAGTCCTCAGGGGTGAGAACGCATCTGCATTTTGAATCTTAATCGAGGATAGGTGTACGTGTCTACTGGCTACAGCATCCACTAACCGTCAGGTGGACTGCGTGCTAGTTTGTCACCCTCATTCGATGAAAAGCGATATAATTTTTGTTGTGTGATTAAATTAAAGGCTATATATAATACGATAAAAAAATTTAGTCATCTAAGTCTTCTGTTCTAAATAAATAAAATTGAAGTGTCTTTTTGTAATGTCAAAATAACAACTCTTTACTAAATGCATATGAAAGTTTATACGGTACATATAACAAAAACACAATTTTTAACAATGGTTAACTCTGACATCGGGATGTCAATCACCTCAGTCCCCCGTGACCATGGGTGCTGTAAAGCACCCGAAACATCGGGAATTAATAAAAATAAAAAATAAGGTAATTAAAACGTGATAAAATCCGTAAAAATAGTTTTATTCAATGTGTAATGTTCGCTTAAATATAAAAAATCATTATGGAACATTTCTAGCTCCAAAGAATGACCCAACGCAAATTGAGTTGCGGTAGGCATGATTTACCGATTGTACAGCGAACGTGTTTAGTTCCAATACAGTCACTATCATAATACTTATTCATTACTTAATTGCTTTTCTTTACATATAAAACATAATAAGCTGATAGCTAAGCGATGATGGAATTTCGATGTGTGAGTTTGTGCGTGATTAATTCCGCTGAAGTAACACTTTTATATATTTTATTTAGTCAACGTTTTCAAAACCGATTAGATGACTTGTAGTGGTTCCCCTGAATTTTCTTCCAAACAGTGGATAGGATATTTCGCCAAAAA